CCCAGGGTGGCAGGTCCTTTGGGGTGGGGGTGGGGGGGGGAGCGGCCCAGGTCCTCACCCTGACGGGCACCCGCGCTTCTCTGCAGAAGTGAAGGTGCTGGGGCTGGAGGCCGACAAGCTCACCATCCTCCGGGGCTGCCCAGGGCTGCCCGGGGCCACGGGGCCCAAGGGAGAGGCAGGCGCCGAGGGCAGGAAAGGTGAGTTCCTCGAGGAGGGGGGCTGGGCCTCGTCCCTGCCCAGTGAGACCCGACAAGGCAGGGCCCCCAGCAGGTCTCAGGAGGGGCCTGGGGCTTGGTCCACTGGGGTGTGGGTCCCCGTGGGAGGGAGCTGGTCTCAGGTCACCACAGAGCAGCTGGGCCTGTGTGGGCGGCCAGCACGGCTCCTGGTGATGACCCACCTGCTGCAGGGGACCCGGCTGGACTGTCCTCCCTGCCCTCCCTGGTCCCAGCTGAGCCCGGGGGGCCTGTCTCCAGGGGCGACCACAGCGGGCCCGGCAGTCACAGCCAATGGAAACGCCCAGGTTCACCGGACAAGGGCAGAACTGGGCTCAGGCCTGATCCACTGGGAAGGCCCCTGGTCCCAGGTCCTGGCCTCTGACGGGACAGCCGGGACTTGGAGTAGTGGGGTCAGGGTCCCCTCCATCTGGTTCCTGAGGGTCTAACCAGGGGGCCCGAGGGGCCAGGGTCCCAGAGTTTGCTCACTGACATGTTTGAATTTGCAGGACAATCAGGCCCATACGGAGTCCCTGGGAATGCGGGACCCCCCGGGCCCAAAGGTAACTCAGCAAGGAGCATGGAGAGCCCGGGCCGGACCCCCCACCACCCGGGGGCAGGGAGAGAGGAGGGCCACTTCCCGGGTCAAAAGGAAAAAATTCCTAACCATAACCTAATGGTAATCATAATCCTATCGTTATCACAAACCCTAACCCTTTTAGTACCCCTAACTCTAACCTTAACATAACCCTAAAATTATCCGTATACTTATTCTTATCCCTTACCTTAACCCTATCTTTATCCCTAACCCTAACCCTATCCTTATCCCTAACCTTATCCATATTCCCTTACCCTCACTCTAATCTTGTCCCTATCGCTAACCCTAACCCTAACTCTGCCCCCAACAGGGTGCTCCCTCACCCAGCGCCTGGGTCTGGGTCTGGGTCTGTGTCGCCAGAACCTAGGGGGCCCAGGGCAGTCCCCGACCCCAGCCCAGCACTGACCCCAGCCCAGCACTGACCCGGCTCATTAATTAGACCCTGCTCCCTTGCCCCATGACCTGTCCCCGCCCTGGGCTCTCTCAGCCCCAGGAGGGGGGGACAGGCGAGTCCTCTGGCTGACGGGGTCTGGCATGAGCCTGTCCTGTCCTCGAGCCTGTGCTGACCCTCCTCTCTCTGCAGGAGACCGAGGGGAGAAGGGCGCTCGTGGAGAGAAAGGTGAGGCCCTCCCGCCCTCCCCAGGGGTGGCTTCCCGGACCCTGAACACAAGGGGGTTCCCAGGGTGTGGAGCAGGGGCTGGGTGGAGAGCAGGCCCTTCCCTCTGCGGGAGGGTGTGGAGGGCGGGATGGGGACCACACTCCTCCCAGAGCCTGTGCAGCCCATCCCTCCCGTCCCAGCCTCAGACCCCAGAGCAGGGCCGGCCCTGTCCTCCCGGGCCTCTGCCTGGGGCTCCAGGAAGTTGGTCAACGATTAAAACACAACGTCGTCCAGAGGCTGTGAGCCAAGCTGTGGGCACAGACGATGAGCAGACGTGGAACATGTGCCCTGAACTACCCATGACACGCGTGTGACCCTCACACATGTACACGCTCCACGTGCGGGTGCAGAGTCGATGACACAGAAACCTTCTCCA